CAAATCCCTTAAATTAGCCAAAAAAAAAAGGGGGAAAAAAGTATACTTTTTTAGTGACATTGTTTTGAAATTGGAAATCAAACTTTAGAAACCTTTTATTTCAATTGGTCAACAAAAAGAAAGTTAAAAAAGAAGACTCAAAGCATGGGATTCTAGTCACTTTAACATGGAAAAAAGAGGAGGAAAAATGTTAGAAAGACAAGTACTCCTCCCATTTACTTTTATTTGAAATTGACTAACATTTTTTCCATCTTGCTTTAAATTAATTGTTTATAGTAAAAAAGAGACCGCATCTTTGTTAATGTCCCTTCCTATTTCAATCGTGTAATGATTCCAATTTGATTTTTAGATCATATGATTAATTGAGCTAATCTATGATTAGTCGAGGCAATTGAAAAGACACGCACATCTTCCGTATATATTCCTTAGATGGGAAAATGTTGAATATATCATATATGAACTTATATAAATGTTAAATTTAGAAGAGAAAAAACTATCATCGGGAGAAGATAACTCAAAATGTCTACCAATTTCTTAAAAATATGGAATATGAATTAGAAAACTTCAATCTCTTATATGATATTTTTTTCCCTTCTAAATTTTTATCAGTTTACCAATATTATGCCGTGTAACTTTACTATTATTAAATTTTAATATTCACGTACCAACAGTGCAATACTAAAATTTAAAAAATGTTTAAAACTTAAAATTAAGGGTTAGAATTAAACTAAATTGAAAAACTCATAAACAACGAAATCTAAAATGTAAAATTGTCTAACATGACCCTTGTAATCTAATTAAATGGAGATAAAATTGGAAAAAAAGTTGAAATTGTTTTTTATTTCCATATTTCGAATTCGACCAAACTATCAAAAGATCAAATGAGCATACATGGGAAGCAAATTAAAGTATAAAATAAAGTTTTGAATACATGAAATGTTAGGGTTGGCTCGTGAGAATAGAATCCATTAATTAATTAATTAACAACAAGAATCTTATCTGAAAGATTGAATAAGGCCCACTAACTCTTTTATAAATCCCCTTAAAAGAGACTTTATGATAAATCCTTATCCCCTCTTCCTGTGGCACTCAGGTGGGCCATGTAAATTCATATCACAAATTAGGTCAACTCATTCATTTTTTCTTTCTCACTCCTCTCTCTCTCTCTCTCATGAATAGTTAGATTAATAATATGAATTTACAAATAAAAAAACCACTTTTAAATTTTGTAAAAATAATAAAATGTAGTAATTTCACCTGTGCAGGTGGAAGTAAAGTCCAGTTAAAAATCAAATAGTGATATATCTATATATACATATTTTGATATGCTATTGATATACCTGAATTGATATATCTAAAACTAAAGATAGATTTAAACAAATATATATGAAGTTGTTTGGTCTGCGACTCTCGCCTAATCATCAAATTATTGTATTGGATATTCCAATATTCTCCGTAGGGATAACATTTATCCAAAACCAAATGCAATATTTTCTTAATTTATTAAATGAAAAGAACATCAACATCACCAAAATAGGGTGCAAGCCAAGAAAAAACAAGTATCAAATTAGACGGAAACAAGTTAGCTTGATCGGTCTGAATTAGAAAATTAGATTGAAATGAGTTAGCTTGATTGATCTGAATATCTATTTTTTCTTTCCTTTTGAGTACAATATGTGGAGTCAGAATCACTCGAACTCATGACATTTTGGTTGGAGACAGATACCTTAATCAGTTAAGTTATACTCGACTTAATTTGATTGTTCTTTTTTTTTTAAGTATAATTTGACTTTAAATATATAAATTGAAAAATAATTGATCCATTCAATTTTGAAGTTTCTAAACTATTTTTGTCAGTATTTTTCAAAAAAGGAAAAAAGGATTTTGATGTCGGTTTTTGGTTTTTGGTATTTCTTAAACCGATGTGTAGGTTCTAAATTTTAAGCAAAACTCGACTATAGTGCACATGCTAACATAAAAGACAACCGTACATATATGTAGGTACATCTGCCCAAAATAAATTATATACATATGTATTGTTAAGAGAGCACATTAATTGCATTTAGGAAGATGGATCAATTTGTTGTGAAGTGATATCTCATTTATGTGTATATGTGGAGATGGGTATATATATCACTATGGAAAATATTTTTTGATTAATGAGAAATAAATTCATTTTTCTGGTTTCTCATTCTGAACGCATTCTTTAGTTTCTTATTTTGTATGTTTGTACATATATAAAAATCTAAATATGTATGTATGTATAGGTATATTTGGATATATTTGGTCACCTTTCATTGGAAAAGGATAGGCTCTTTCAAAAAAGAAAACAAAAACAAAAGGCAGGAAGAGATTTAGGGCTTTTTTATTTTTTTATTTTTGAAGAAATTTAGAGCTGATTGGATGTATCTTGAAAAAATGTTATAATTCCAAAAGAAGAAAAAAACTTAGGAAAACAAAATATAATTAACATGGTAGTTGAACCCATTTAATTATATTTATGTTCCAAAATGAATTGGGATAGAGTCTAGGTTATTTCTAAGTGTCTTTATAATTTAAAAATAAATATTCTATTGGTATTGTAGTTTAAAGTTATGCACAATTTACTTTTTAAATTTATGGTAAGAATAAAAGTATGGCCAACCTTCCGATAAAGTAGACCTAGAAAGGAGAATAATTCATCTAGATATAAAGAATGCTTCAAATATTCTTTCTTTATTTACCCATAAAGAATGTAAAAATGACATACTATTTATTAACTGAACCGTATCTCCTAGAATTTATATTAATTCCAGTTAAAAATTTTATCAACTTCTTTTAATATTGTAATTCAAATAAATTTGAATCCACGTCTTCATCACTGACAACCAACAATTAGAATTTCTTAATCCCTGTCTCTAATCTAAATTAGGAACTAATATCTAGAATCCACCTATTTCGCACTGCATTGTATTGTTTTTAGATTGTCTTATCATAAATAATAATAGATCTAATTTGACATAAGAATTGAATTACTTAGAAACTGGAAAAGTAAAGACCAAAGGGATAGATATGGCAAAAACTAAAAGTAAAGTGAGAATGAAACCAAAAAATGTGTTCCTCATGGCGGATCTATTTGCCACCTTCAGAGCATATGTATATATATATGTCACATAGTACTAAGATTTTCACATATAATTTAAAATATATGTTTTATATATATTATAGTTTTAGGACTTATTTGGGTAATATGCCGTTTTAATATTATATTTTATAAACGACTTGAATTTTATGTTCTCATATTAACTTCTTTTTATTGACATTTTACAATTTATGAGTAAAATTAAGACGAAGTGTTTACTTTTCTTTTTTAACTGTCTAAAAATAGTTTTAAGATCTTTATCAAGATTTATTGCTTTTTTTTAACATTTTTTCTTTTAAATTTTAAAATTAGTACGGGTCAGCATTGTTAGTAGCAAATCAAAGGAAACTAAAGTTAATTTTGGTTTATGTTGAGTATGGACAAGGAGGATAATTACACGGGGCAAGTGAATGTTGGATTGTAAATCACATTGCATCGAAGTCTTAAAAAAGATAAAAGTTAACCAAGAAATAAAAGCATATAAAACATAATATGATTCTTCCCAAAAATAAATTTCTCAAACTTTAAAAACACAATCATTTTTATTTTTTTTTCAATATTTTTGGTTCACTGCATTCACGTAGTAATTAAAAAGAGCTAAGCTGGGCTCAATAAGACACTTTACTTATTTTCTAAATATTGGAGGGTCAATCATTCATTTTCATATTTATTGTATTAAAAAAAATATATAATAATATTTTTAGTAGGAGGTTGAGCTTCGAACTTGCAACGAGAGATATGTGTCAATTACGATTAATATTTGACAAAAATATATAGTAATTAAAAAGAGAAAAAAATCTGTCAAAATTTACTTATTTTTACGAAAATCAACTCTTGCTTCTTACGCGCTCATATTAATAAGTTAATGCAAATAAGTATCCAAGCCACAAAATTTATTGAGAGGTCAACAGACAAAGGATTTTTTTTTTTCCTAAAGCTTTCTCAAATAATATATATATATATATTTTAAGTTTAGGACGAAAATAACAATAATCTTACAAATTTAAGAGGGAAATGAAATAGTTAAAAGGAAAATTGAATAATGAAAAATAAAAATCCATTTCCTGGTTTGAAGTTTGAAGATCGGTTGACCATCGCCGTCGCCGTAGTGTTATCTGGCGACGCGAATCCGCATATCGCAAAAAGAATATGCCACGTGTACACTATGTCTTTTCACCCCCACTAACTATGGTTAGTTAGTTTATCATAATCCCCCACTCTCTTTTTACACACACATATCCAGGCTATATATACCCACCCGCTTCTCCTCTTTCTTCCCCGAATTCCTCTCTTTCTCTCTCTCCCTGTTTCGGTTCTTGCAATTTATCTGAATCTCTCTTTCGCGGTTTCGTAAAATCGAAGCCAAACGCTGATCAAATTCTGCACGGAAATGATTGAACTGTTCTTTAGGTCTTAGCTTTCTGCACCTCTTCTTATGATCGTTTTGTCATTTGTATTTATTGTTCTCGGTGGTGTTTTCGGCGTCAATGGCGGAAGCCGAACGGAGATTCTGCGTCGGGTATGCCCTTGCGCCGAAGAAGCGACGTAGTTTCATACGAGACTCGCTGGTGATGCTTGCGGAATCGCGAGGTATCGATCTTGTGCGGATCGACACGGACCGGCCCCTTGTTGATCAAGGAGCCTTCGATTGCGTCATCCACAAGCTGTATGGTGCAGATTGGAGGAGGCAACTGGAGAATTTTAGGGTTGTGAACCCTAGTGCGGTGATTTTGGACTCACCGGACGCGATTCTGAGGCTTCACAACAGGATTTCCATGCTCCAGGTGGTATCGGAGCTGAAGGTTGAAAACCACGAGGAGTCGTTTGGGATTCCTAAGCAGATTGTGATTTACGATAAGGAGACTCTATCGGATCCGCAGGCTTGGGAGGCCTTGAAGTTCCCGGTCATTGCCAAGCCCTTGGTCGCCGATGGCAGTGCCAAATCGCATAAAATGGCGCTCGTGTTTAATCACGACGGCTTGAACATGCTTAAGCCTCCTATTGTATTGCAAGAATTTGTGAACCACGGCGGGGTTATATTCAAGGTTTATGTGGCCGGAGAGCACGTAAAATGCGTAAAGAGGAAGTCACTTCCGGACGTTTCTGAGGAGAAACTGGAGAGCGTCGAGGGCCTGCAGTCATTCTCTCAGGTGTCAAATTTGACCAACCACGAGAGAGTTGACGAGAAGTATTATCAGATGATGCAATTGGACGACACTGAGATGCCACCATTGAGTTTCGTCACTGATATAGCCAGAGGATTACGGCATGCGATGAAGCTTAATCTCTTCAACTTCGATATGATTCGGGATTCAATAAACGGGAATCGGTACCTCATAGTTGATATCAATTACTTTCCGGGGTTCGCCAAAATGCCAGGGTACGAGAAGATTTTAACGGATTTCCTCTCTGACGTAATGTGGAGGAAAGACAGAGAGGTGGTAAAAGCTTGGTTCGAGCACGATGGCTCAGGGCCGACTGCCTTCGATAAAAGGCAAGTCCACACTTGTGAAAATGATTCTAGAAAGGTTGTGATGCTTACTTGCATCAGTAATGGGGACGGAGGAGGTTGAACGATACTTGAAAGCTGCATTTCCATTTATTTTTCCATTGACTTAGACCTTTAATCCAATTGAATTTGCCAATAGCAGGATGTTCTGCTTGTATTCAAGTTCTAAAATGAGCTGTAGTCTCTAGCTCTTAATATGGTGATGGACAAACTGGGCAGTTCCTCTGTTCTTTTTACCTCAAATTTGCGAAAAAGGAAATCGCATGCTATAATATTATTAATTGTTGACTCTACATTCAATTGCTTCTCTGTATCTCTGAAGTCTGAAGTACTCTGCTAAAGTTAGTTTAGTTTGGCTGTTCCCTTGAAAACAAAGAGAGAAAAGGGTTCTATTTAGTTGGACTGTCAGAATTTTTTTCAATGAAATGTACCATTTTTGGATGACATATATATTTAATTTTCTCATGCTATTTTGGGGTTTGTTTTCCTATATTATCAAATAGATTGCTTATAAAGAAAAAATTTAAGAGCTTTTTGTAGTGCTGGGTCCCTGAGTATGGTACTGCCCATTGGGAAGAAAAACTAAGACGGGACGAAAAGATCTGGTGATGAAATAGGAATCTCTCTGTAATATTAACTAGTGGGGATAATTATTATGTTTTTGGGTGCTGTTAATTATCTCACTTCAGGTGAGTTGAATTGGAGTTCCTTTTAACATTATGAATTTACTGGGTCACTTCTACTGGCGAATATAGCAATCTTCGACATTTGGTCCTTGTAGGTTGTTTCATTTACAATGGCCTATTCTGATTTTATGCGCTTTCAGCTCTTTGTTTTTCTTTAGGTATTATTGTTGTAACTTAACTGCACGTTTTATCAGATCATAGATTAAAGATCTAGTTTCATTCCTTGACTAGTGTTCTGTTATGATGAAACTTGTCTTATGTTTGGTTGAAGATTGTTTTAAACTATGCAAAAAGCTTGAACACTGGAATGATGTTGTTGTTTAAGTGATCACTTTCTTCTAATAGCTGTACTGAGAGATAAAATTTGTATTGTAGATGGTAGGAACACTGCAGATAATTTTCTTGCCTTCAGGTGACTGTTACTAGGGGATGCTTGGGATTCTGGAAAAATTTGACCAGTGTTTGTTACACTAAAGTTTTAGAACGAATCTTAATGAGACGATTTTGCACTCTAGATATTACATGACTTTCTCCCATATCTGAATTTTGATACATAAGTTGGCTCAAACTATCCAAGCACTAGCAGAGGGGTAATGGCTTCTGCAGAAATACACAAGAGTATGATTCATCATCTTAAAAGTTCTATGCTTTCTGCAATACTTAAACATTGCTGTTCTCTATGCATGTTCTTATGCAGGATCATAATCGAGCACATGGTGGATATGCATCTACGTCCAAACAATGAAGGTGACAAACAGAAACAGATCTGTGATTTGCCCACCAGAGTTCGACTATCTTGGCATGGAGAATCCAGTTTGTATATATCCCGTTTTGAAGTTTGATATTATAACCATATTCCATATTTCAATTGTATTAACCTACGCCAATGAAGTGGCTGGATAAGGTTGTTGATGCAGAATAGAATGGATGGCAGACGGCAGAGGCAAGGAAGTGGCTGGATAAGCTTGTCGACCTCTGCAGGATACAACGGATGGCAGACGGCAGACAACAGAACTCAAGGACAGTTTTAGAATTGATAGCTGTCCTTTTACCCCTCAGATAGTCAAATCTATGGAAGCCCTCTTTGAGGAATAAATTACTGTTTCCCCTTGTGGCAGGTAACCTGTTCTGATTCTCCTCTTGCTTCTGATTTTACTAATTTACCATGAATATGTTAAAACTAAACTGTACAATTGTGCTTTTACTGAATTCTGATTCTGATATAATCATGAAATTCTTAATTCAGTAAGTTTGATTAGCAATTGGAAACATAGATTGATAGCTTTGGGGATAGTTTTAGACAAGGTAGCTATATTCTCCGAGACAACTTGCCAAAAGAATATAGAATGGTAATGGAGAATTTTGGTTGAGCACCCTTTAAAATTCTGCACCATATCTTAGTTATCATGATGCTATTCCTCTGAGAATTAGTCAATGGTTATCTGTTTAGTTGCTGTATCCAAAAGAACTTTAGGTACCCAAATGGGGGATTAGTGGGATCTATATATTCATCACATTGGAAATAAATAAGATTGGTGGAGGGAGAGAGTCACTTCTTCAAATAAGCAGATCGAATAGATTCTTTTGAAGGTCAAGAAATCTTCTTCCAGCCTCCAGCAATGGAGGATGGTGTAGAAAAAGTCTGGTCTACTGTAATGTTCTACTTGTCTAGAATAACAGATTTTCAAATTTTCATTTCAATCACTAATAAAGATGAGGTGAAGGACAAAAAACTTATGGACATAAATTACGTAGAGCTGGCTAAGAATATTTGGGAGAAAAAAGAAACACGATGATAATGGCCGATAAGCAACTTTAATTAGATTAAAAGTTATAGTTGTTTTGGAATCTTTTCAAATAAAATTATAGGGAAATATTTATGTTTGATAATCTATTTGAACCTTTTTTTTCGTGTGACACAATTGGAAGATGATGGAACAAAGAGATCTATCAAAATATGTTAAAAACACCAACAAGAAAGTAAAAAACAATAAAAGAAAGACTGTATGTCTCATAAACGAGACGCAACATAATAACTCATTTATGGAAATTAGTCTCTGTTAAAAACACCAACAAGAAAGTCAACAATGTAATCAAAGTAGACGAACAATAAAAGAAACATTGCATGCCTCATAAACGAGATGCAACATAATAACTCATTTATGGAAATAAGTCTCAAGTATACCTTATCAATAATTAGGAACTAGAATAAATACAATTAGGAACTAGAATAAATACTATCACGTCAAAGTAGTACAAGCACAAACAACATGTCAATTTTAAGTAAATTGAACTCAACCTAGAAAAAAGGTCTCACTTTTTCTTTGTAATTGTAATATGTAATAAAAAAGAAATTGAAAGTTAACAAAATTTAAGAATATACATACAATACAACCAAGAAAACATCAAAATTCTGAACTGCTAAAGTCTATTGGCAGAATGACACCTGGAGCCACTGGTCCACATCGGGCTGGGTCAGGCCCAACTTTGAAACCATATTTTCATCATGGTTGTGGGCTGTGGCAGTCTAAAAATAAAAATAAGAGAACTTATAGCAGGAGACTGTATCCCTGATAATGTTTATCCTCTTTCAAGAGAAAAAGAAAAAGAAATGAAGGAGAAATTAGTGATGGTTGCTATTAAATATGCAGCTTTAGGAGACATGTACAATAATATCTGTGTCATTATTGCTATCAACAATTGGTACACCTCTCTGAGAGGGGCCTGTGGAGACTCTGACTGGAGGAATATGACTCAATTTTTTTATATTTTGATTGAAGAAGAGAATCAGGATAACAGTACTTTTTTTCATTATTTGATTGTAGGTTTAAATTATCGTTAGATATTTATGATGTAATGTTGTAGAAAAATGGTCTAAAAACTTAGGCAGGGAAAGAAGAGAAGATACTGTCGATGAATTGGTTTTTGAGAGAGAAAAAAAGTTGCACAAAGTTAGCTGTTAGTTGGTAAGGGGAGGCTTCTGGAATGTAGAAAGGTGTCAAATTACTTGTCTTAAACGCAAACATTTTTTTTAATACCTAATAGACCCAACACTTTACTAACTAATTAATTGACTTTTCATTATTTTATTTACTCAAATAAGCCCTCAACACACATAATTTCATTCTTTAATTTATACTAATAATAATCATCTCCTAATTCCTTAACTATATTTTCCATCCCAACTTTGACTTCCAATCCAAAAGTCAAAGGTCAACACGTAATCTCAGTGGAAATTTCCTGTCGTTGTTACAAAAACTAATTTGTCTTGTCTGTCTTCATATGATTCGTTTATGCAGCTGCTTATTTTCTGTTTGGTTGATGGGAAAAATCACTGGACTAAGGAAAGTAAAAGAAAATTCTCAAAGTATTATTATATTATTGATGGTATGGTACAAAACAAAATACAAGAAAAAGATTTAATGCAATCAACTAAATAGTCTATACCCTGTAACCCCCAAACTTTAAAGTTTAAACATTGAATTTGGACATATTTATGTAACATATGGATTCAGCTCTGAAATTATGAACACAATAAAGAAAAAAAAAAAGAATAAGACCACAGCGCTACAGTCTTTTCCCCAATATTATCTAACAAAAGACAAGACCCTTCCAATCAAAATCATGAGATGCACTTGTATATCTATATATATGAATGTCTCTCCATGAAAGCTGTGTGAGAAATCAAATTGTTGATCTGCAAAAATAACAGGAAATAATATATTATATTTAGCAGCTATAGAGAGAGGGAGAGAAAGACTTGTAATCAATAAAGAGAGTTTGTTATGATCTTATGTCATGGCTTTATATTCTTGTGTTAAATTGTTTAGGTTTCAAATAATTCATAAAAATTTAATTGATCAAATTAAACAAATACCCTAGAACTTTTCTCAAACCCACCCTAAATATGAAAAGTTATTCTTAATTAGGAATATGTTAAGATTAAAAATTTAGTGATGATAGCCAGAGTTGTACTTTTAGTATATCAAAAACTCACCGTAGAATATCATTCCAGTAGGACCCATTTGCCTCCTCATCATTCATAAGAGACTCCAAACTATCAAAAATTGAAGAGTCTGCAGCTGGTGAGTTTGAAATTTCACTCTCAATTTGGTTGACATTTGAAGCTGAACCTGGAGACTCTGAAATCAATGGTGGAAGTACTGGATAATAATTCTCAGTTTCTTCAACTTGAACATAATCACATCTTTCTTCCAACTCCGCTTTATTCTTACGCCCGTCTTCGAACCCTGGCACCGACACGAAACCGGTCGAAAACCCAGCTTGGAACTGGTTGGGGTTAGGGTTAGGGTTTTGAAGTCCATCCATGGCGGAGTTTGCAACATAAGGAATAATGGTGGGTGTGTTTAGAAGTTGGCACAGATTCTGCAGTAATTGGAGCTTGGCTATCTCAGCTTGCAACTTGAGGTGATCGCTGTTTAAAGGACTTGTTATCCCATTAAACAACTGAGAAATGTTGAGAAATGGATTTAGGTCTGTTCTTGGCTTGTGGGTGTTCGGATCAATTCCCATTTGTAGAAGCTTCTTCCTCAAATGGGTGTTCCAAAAGTTCTTGATTTCGTTATCCGTTCTTCCGGGAAGATGACTCGCGATTCTCGACCACCTGCGAGAATATGAATAAAAGATTAAACTTGTCATTTACTATAGCCTTTCAATTAAAACTGATTTTAGATATTGAAGGATAATTTAACGTAGGATAATGGAGGCATCTATTCAAACTCTTTTTTATCCATTAATTTCCTCTCCAATTTGTATTGATAACCACTACTCGGTGGTGCTTGATTTTCAAAAGAGTATAAATAAAATATTAAATTTGCCCTAAATTATTTCAATTCTATATTCATTTCTAAGAATCCACTAAGAAAACTTCAATTTTCAAACAATGAAATCAAATTTCCTTTCTTTTCTTTCCCTCTGATTCTAATTTTTCAAACACAACAACTACTAAAAGTAGAAGTACTTCTGACAAAACAAGAAACAGACATGTTTACGAAAGGAGTCCTCCCCATACCTGTTCCCGAGAAAGGAATGAAGTTTAATAATGGAGGCTTCTTCCTCAGGCGAGAATTTGCCTCTCTTAATATCGGGTCTAAGATAGTTAGTCCATCTTAACCTACAACTCTTGCCACACCTATTCAACCCAGCAAGCTTGGGGAGAGCTCTCCAGCTTCCATGGCCGTTGTTAGCGACGTAATCAATCAACTTCTCGTCTTCCTCAGCCGTCCATGGCCCTTTCTTCACACCATTTTCATCACAGCAAGGGGACCGACCCATCTTAGTTCACAAAACAAATATTCAAAGAAAAGCAACGAATTTTATTTTTGGGTTTCTGTTTTGAAGGAGAGAGAGAGAAGTTGGAGCTGGTTTTATAGAGGAAATGGGAAAAGATGAGGTTTTTTTGTCAAAATGGTGAGATCATGGTGGCTGTGGGAGAGACTCAAGTTTTAATATATGTTTGCCTTCTAAATGCACGGCAGTGGAAGGGGAAGGAAATGAAATGCCAACTTTTTTTTTTTTTTCTCTCTTTTTGCAGAAGATTTTAGCACACTAACAAACGAATGGCACCAAATTGTTGTGGATTAGGTGTAGTTTTTTTTTTTCCATCAATAATGAACAATTTTCCTTTCCCCTTTCCTCAATTTCAATGGTGTGTTCATTTGAACTTTCGCTATTTGTTCTAATAACAATTGTATTTGAACGACAATAACATATATTATACCGTGTTGAATAATCGTATCAACTAATATAGTTATTAGGGTTGATTGCAAAAATAAAATAAGAATTCAATATTAGGTCAAAATGACAAGACATAGTTAAACGAAGCATGGTTCAACTGATTAAGATATCTATTTTCGACCCAGAAATCGAAGGGTTTGAATCTTCACTAAGAATAAAAAACTTGGAAATGTAATTGTAAATATGGTAAAAAAAAGTTGAATAAAGGCTTTAGTGTTTTTTTTTTCCCTTTTTGGAGGAAGATAGCTTAATGCATATGATGTGGACAAAGGAATATAGATTCTAGGATTTTGGGTTCGGTTTTCAGATATTTTACAGCTAATCAAAATTATGGAATAAAAGGTTAATCTAATGGATGTGTGGCATTAGCATTAGATTTTAGGATTTTAGGTTCGGTTTTGGGTTTAGTTTGTTTGGTCAATTATTTTAACTATGTTAATTGTTTGAACCCTAAACCAACTCAAATAAACGTATAATTCGACCCGTATTAAATATATTTGAGTGTAAATGATTGAATTTCTTTAGAGAAAGAAACCTACATATATGTATAATTAACCATTAAAATGTGTTAATTAATTTTAAGTAAGAACAAAAAAGGTCACAAAATCAAAATTTATGCAATAAATCATTTATTGTCAAAACTTTACCTAATTTGAGTTCCTATCTAATTAAGAATCATTGCACAAAGTTCTCAAATTATGTACTATTGATCAAAGAGGAAAAAAAAAACATATAAATAATGCTTCACTTGCATGAATTCTCTAAAATTATGACTTGAAATTTAAAAATGTTATACATCATTTATTTTTGTCACAATAAAGTCCAAATATATTTCTAATTCCCAATAAACATCTTTCTCTACTGTTAAAAAAAATTAAATAAAAAAGATTTTAGCAATAACTTTTGGACACCTACATGTGCAATGATTTTTTTATTTAACCGAGGAGAAAAAAAAAAAGGTTGTGTAGGCAGATTTTGGGACAGGAAATCAGCTATTTTAACCATCAATGTTTCTACAGTAGATTTTGACTGGTTTAGGAACACAAAACAAATAGGATTTGACAATCTTTTAAATAAGTATTTTTATAAAGTGGATGCAAATTATTTAAACTAGCCCTCTTCTATCGAATTTCGATTATTTAAGGTCCATTTAATTAAAATTTTATTTTAATTTCTATTTTTTAAAAAATTTAACTCCTTTTTTTTCTAGGAAAAAAAGGATTTGAATTAATGAATGTCACTTGATGCTACAGTGACAATTCCTCTTCCTAAATTAGGGCTCGTAATGCTTTTGTTTTTGGTTTTAAGAAATTAGAAACAATAGGTATATATAAATAGTCGTAAAATGTACCAAATAAAATTAGAAATGGGAATGTTAATTAATGAGATATCTCAACATTAATTGACAATGAGAGAAGGAGTCAATGCCTATTATAAAATCTTTGTTAATTCTCTTATATTTTCAACGTGKGATCTTTTAGCCCTAAACAAACTTAACTTTTCAGTTAAAAACAAAGGAAAAAGAATGTTACCCAATGTCTCCATTTTCTTTTAGTTCCTAAAATCTAGTTATTTTGATTTTTGAATGGTAATTTATTACCTAATTAACAAAAAAGAAAATTATTACGGTAAGCTAGCTAAATTTTAAAAACGTCAATGAACACCCATTTGAGATTATTTTTTTTAAGTTAACAATATATGAAATGGAGATTCTACCACCCGACCTTTCACTCGAGAATACATATCTTGACTAGTTAGAACAATGCCGTTAATGTTAATATTTGATCTATTTTTTTCATAAAAGTTATATCATAAATGCCTCATTGCAAAAGTCATCAAGCTTGTCATGTTGTGATTATCCTCATTAAGCCATCAAGAAAGAAAATCCATGTCCAAATTCCAAAATCAACTTTAAAATCCATTATATTGTATATTATTCATCCTCTAACCTGCCCTAAAAAACCCCTAATGGAACTGTTTGATGAGTTTAATTTCTTCTCAAGGTTGCTTGTTCAAACAGTTATAATTTTATTCAAAATGTGGTTGAAAATATGTCCACAATATATATCAGATAGGGCTATGCCTAGACCATATATATCACATTAATAATTACTTGTCAACTTTAGTTTGTCATTTAAATCTCTCTTATACACCAAACACTTACCAAACTGTGTAGAATTGAAGTTATAAGCACACCCATTTGTACTTCAATTTCAAACTCCCAACTGCCCATCACACACAATAAAACAAACCAAAAATATGCCTCATTTTATCCATCACACACCACCCAAATCAATTATGTTCTTCTTCTTCGAGGTTAATTATTGTAATTTACACCATATACAAAGTCAAATTATTCCAATAGCTAAATATTTAAGTGTCTTCCAAATTCTCTTCTGATTGAAAACTTCTAGAATATATATTGAATAGTTAGATTCAACCTAAAAGTTAGTTAGATTTAGGTTTCGTTCTATGCTTAATTAAGCTTTCCAACTTATTTAGTTAGCCTTTTAACACAGTAAATAATCTTAATTAATGTTTTTTAAATTTCATGCAAACGCGATATAATTTTTGAGAGATAACTTTTTTTACCCTAAATTAAAAAGAGAAAATTGTGTGTGTATATAGTAAAGCCTAGAGAAATTTACTTAATAAAATTATAGCATATGTTTGGGAAACCTCCTTAAATCTTTGACATAATCTCAGTTGGTATTGACTTAATAATTTATAGATAGTTAGCTAAAGCTCTTGTATGCAGGTCATGGAGGGTGAGCACCAATGTTTGTTTTATTTTATAATATATAGTTTTTATTTGTTTATATACCTGATTTGGTTGAAGCAAGGAAGCAACACATATAGAGACAGTGAGAAAAATGACAGAAAATTTTTCAACCTTTCTTACATCAATGCCTTCCTTGACTATCTTATTCCATTACCCATTGAGAATTTGGTAAATCTTAGCCAAATTAAAATGAATAAAGAGTGGAGATATTAATTAATTTATTTATTCTTTTTTTTTTTAATGGAGAAGATTAATTGTTAGGTGGATTTTTACCCAAGTTACATGACTTCCTTGTTAGACTTTGGATTTTGGTTGATTAAATTTATAAAACTTTGACAAACGGCCAACTAGTGTGAAAAGAGTGAAAATTGGGTTAATTCTTGGAATTAGTAACAGTTAAAAACTATCTGCTTTGACTTTTATTTTTTAAATGTAATACATGTCTTATTTATTTATTTCTATGGAAGAAAAACTGTGAATTAATAAGAAATAAACCTAAGAGTTACATTAAAAAAAAATGGTCGCAACACATTCAGAATTCACAAAGGAAAATAGCTATCTAAATAGATAAACCATAGAAATAACACACTTGGCCAATAAAATATTATGAACAAAATTTAGTCCACAGAACATCTTTCCAAAGTCATGACATCTTCAATCTTATTCAATGTTATCAAGGTAGTTTCCTCAATTAAATGAAGGAATCTAGCTTGTCTTTTATGGCACCACTATCCAGGATTGGAAGGGAAATAATTTCCCCCACAGTTGCCTTACGCTCTCCACCATGATAGGTAAGGAAGTAGCAGAATTATTTTCTCCCTCGAAATAGATTGAAGCTAGCACATTAATACCTCTAAAATCCGCCACCAAGTCTACTCCCTGAGAAAAAACCGCAACTGTCATATCCGAAGACGGAACTACTACTCTAGCTGCTGATTCCGGCAAGTTTTCCTTCCCTTGATACATCTCTTCTTCCATTCTAACTTGTGTCATCCTATTTATCTGACTGATGTCTTTCTGATAAGAAAACCAAGGTTTAGGACGGTCATAAACATCCTCGCAATCCTTTATATAGTATGACCCACCTAGCCACAATGGTATCAGAAATCCAACAATCCAACGGCTCCCCATTAGATTATTGAAGTTAACTTTAGTTCCATCAATTGAAACACAAACCTCAAATTTCTGCCCCAACAAATTCTATCTCAGAGAAAGTACCAATCCTTTTCTCTAGAAGGAAGACAGAAGAAGATATTTCTAGCGTTGGGAAAGAGGAGAAGCTTGCCTACTAGGCGTACACCAAGACATTTTCTAGTTCTAGCAATAGTCGAAACATCAATGGCAATAATAACTTCTATCTTCTTTAATGGTTAACTTAATTGAAATTTTCCTACTCTTGGAACAAATCGTCCGCAACCATTAGAGGAATGCCAAATGAAGACATATGTTTGAAAAGAAAAAAGGGCAAGAAAAGACTCAAGCTTGCCATGAAGACTGAGACGAACTTGAGAGAGGGGAAGCTCTCATGTCACAGGAGACAAGGAGAAAACCTTACAATTTTAGGATCCTGTAATATATGTCTTAGTTTTTAAACTATATGTTCAGATTAAATTTATTTATTTATTTTTAATTGTGTTTGGGACTAAAATCACTCTTGTCATTTTTTTCAAAATTACTCCTCTTTCCATAAATTATATTTAACAAATTAAAAAATTGATTTTAGAAAAGTTTAAAATCACTTTAAATTGATTTTTAAGGTAACATTTTGATGATGATTTTGAAAAATCAATTATACTTAAAAAAAATTTTCAAAATCATTCATTTCTCCACCATTTTCGGAGACACCCTTACACTAATTTGATAAATATGAATACCTTATTTTACAATATTTTTAGTACTAATTTGATAGCTGTTTTATCTTTAAGAAATAAAAGAGTACTAACTTTCCTCATTCTTCTAAAGTTTAAATGCAGTTTTAATCGCTGAATTTGTTTTTTTTTCATTCTTAAGCTTTTCAACTTCTTATTTTAAACATCTCAAATTATATGTTTAATTATAATAATAAAATAAATTATGCCACTTTTTTATTAAATATTTTAATCTTAAACACTAAATTTGAAACCGAAGAGATTATAATAAAATTGTCAAAACGAGCCTATTAACATATATCTCACGTTAAGAAGTTGTGAGTCCGATCACCTATCCTCACATGCTGTACTAAAAAGAAAAAAAAAAGAGATCATAATAAAATTGATTACACTTCAAGTAGTAAATTAATAATGAGAATAAATCTCTGTTTAAAAAAAAAAGAATAAAGTTTAGAGAAGAAAACTATATTTTATTTATTTATCTTCTTAACGAAGCGTTTGAAGAGAGAGGGGAAAAAAGGAAAACGATATTCTAAGAAAATAAAAATAAAAGAAAAGAAAATGCCCGGAAATTACGTGTCGTTGATCGTGTTTTTTCCGTAAGATATAATTATTTGGAAAGTCTAATACTGAATGATTGTTTTATCTTGATTTTGACTTATTATAATTTTGTCTCTTTCTGTCGGCCGAGTAAAATTAAAAATGAAAAGAACCAAAAAAAAAAAAAAAGTGAAAGGGCCACACGGATTTTTTTTTAATATTGTTTTTAATTAACTTATTTTTAAAATAATATTGAGTTATTAGAAAAAATAGAAAAAATACAATTTTGGAAACTTATTCCAAAAATATTATTGTCGTAAAAAATGGGGTTTTGGAGACGACTAAACCCATTTTTTTTTCAACAGCAATATTTTTGGAATAAATTTTCAAAGTTGCATTTTTTCTAATCAATCAACATTATTTTAAAAATAAGTTTAATTAAAAATATTATTAAAAAAAACAGGCCACATACGCTTAGGTATTATTCTAGATCAATAATACGAGTGTTCGAACCTTTCATCTTTCAGTTTGATTATGAGCTAGGTTCAAATTCACTTTTTAAAAATATAGATGAAAATATCAGCTATTTCCTTTTAAAACATGAATTATAGTTTTAATGTCGGGTTTTTGGTTTAAATACCATTTTTATTTTTTACTTGGTCTCTGTTATTTTAAATTTTGTTCATTTTAATTTATATACTTTCAAAACCTTCATTTTCATTTTTATTAAATTTCTTTCTATTATAATTTTAGCCTTACACTTTACTCATCAATTTTTTTGAAATATAGTCATAAATTGTATTGAAGGGTTTTCATTGTGTATAAATTTGTGTTAAAATTTTGTAAATGTAGATTAAATTGATCAATTTTTAAAAGTACAGAAACCAAAATAGACGTTTTAAAACAACATGACCAAAATGAACCAAAGACAAAATTTGACGAACCAAAACAATATTAATTTTTTTTAAACAATGTTTTAGTTTGTGGTATTGGTGCCATTCTAAATGGGTCTTTTGTTTATCGGTTAAAATGTGGAAAATTCTAGATCATAAAATCTAACTATATAAATTTTAAAGGAATTTTTAAATGAGTTGTATCATTTTTCAAGTATTTACTAATGATTATTTTTATAAAAGCAACAAATATAGCATAAAATAATAATAATCATAAATCATAAATCGCTATATAAAATAATAGTTCTTAAGAGTTTAGGTTTCTTTGTATTGCAAGATGAAAAGTTGAAAAGTAGTATAACTTCACTCTTATACACTCCATTTGTTAAAATTATTTTATTTTTTATTTTTTATTTTTCAAAAATTAAGTTTATAAACTACCACCTTTCATCAATTTTGCTATCTATTTCTAAGAAGGCTTTCAAAATTCTAGGTAAATTTTGAAAAATAAAAAAATTGTTTTAAAAAAGTTTTTCTTTTCTTCTTTTCTTCTTTTTCTTTTTTTTTTAAATTAAGTTAAAAATTAAATGTGAAAACAGACTAAAGAAATTGTGAGCAAACAAGCATAAATTTTGAAAACATAAAATTAAAAAACGAAATCGTTATGATATAGTACCAAAATATATAAAAAATAATTTACAAATAAAATGGATATCACAAAAAAAAATTAAAAAATTAAATTTCACTTTTTTTTCTATATTTTAAGTTTAGTTTTTAATTTAGTTCTTATAGTTTAATTGGTGTGTCCCAATGGTTCACTAAAATTTATAAAACATTTCTATCGTTTATCAACAAATAACCAAAAAAAATCCAACTTAATTATGAAGTTATTAATGGTTGCACTTAGAAAAGAATAAAAAAAAAATCCACCCTACATTATCTATTATAGTCCAAAACAGCCCAAAATTAATATATTAAACAAAAAGAAATAATATATGCAGAAAGGGCCATGTGAAAAGAATATGAAGCCTTTTGAAAGCGTACCAAAAAGTAAAGTAATGATTCAAACTTTCCAAAGTACAAGGTCCCGTAGAAAATTGGACAATCTTCATTTAGTTTAAATATTATTTTGGTTCGTGTAGTTTATAGTTTTAAAACGTCTATTCTTATCAATTTTTATTCATTTTAGTTCTCACAATTTTAGTATGATACTTTGTTGACAAAAATTTTGAAATGTATTCATAAATTTTAGTTAGAGTGTTTCAATTATATATAAAATTTATGTTAAAATTTTACAAATAAAGAATAAAATTTCTCCTTTTAAGAATACAGGGACAAAAACAGATGGGATAGAGACCAGAATGAACCAAAGTTTAAAATATAAAAATAGAAATTTTGAAATTACATGATTAAAATGAACCAGAGAACAAAAATAGTATTTAAACATTTGCATTATTCAAAAGAAAAATGGAAAACCAAATCTTTAAGTATGGTGTTTCAACCCATTCTCTATTATGTATTATCCTTTATTATGAGAGTTAAACAACCACTTAAATTTACATAAAAGCTACATAAATGTCAATAAATAAATAAATATGAGGGTGAAAAATCAGAGAGGGAACACATATATATTAAGAGCACCCAATAGAAAATCTTTAATATAAGAGTTGGCTTTGTCCCTATGTAATGTAACACCATGGCTTCACTTCACTTGAGTGTGTTTTGTTGCTGTTGTTGGATGTTGATTAACTTGTAATAAGCTCCATTCTTGTTCTCAGAAAGGCTTGAATGAGTCCCTTGTTCCACTATCTTTCCATTTTGGATCACTGAGATTTGGTCACAATTTTTAATAGTGGAAAGCCTGTGTGCCACCACCACTGTTGTTCTGTTCTTCATCAGTCTGTCTAAGGCTTGCTGAACCACGCGTTCCGATTCAACATCGAGAGCACTCGTGGCCTCGTCAAGTAGTAGGATTTCCGGGTTCTTCAGGACTGCTCTGGCGATCGCTATCCTTTGTCGTTGCCCGCCCGAGAGTTGGATCCCTCTTTCGCCTACTTTGGTCGAGTAGCCTTCCGGGAGAGCGCTGATGAAGTTGTGTGCATTGGCGAGCCTTGCTGCTTCGAATACTTCCGCTTCTGAAGCTCCTTCTTTCCCGTAGAGAATGTTCTCGTAAATCGATGTGGCGAAAAGAGCTGGTTCCTGTTGGACGAGGCCAATGTGCTTCCTGAGAGATTTGAGCTTGAGTTTCTTTATATCTTTTCCTGCAAGATATAAAGAAACTTTGTTGGTCGAGATTTTACTTGGTATACTTATACATATCAGTTTTGCTAGAAAATGCAAAAGAAAATGCTGTAAATGCGGATAAAATCTTGAGAAGTAAATTGCTAAAACTAACTTGTTCGTTTCTCTAAGCTAACAAGATTCACAACTAAGATTTTCAGAAGCAAGCTGATTGTTTCATCGAGAAAACTTACCATCGATCATCACCTTCCCAGCTATTGGATCATAAAATCGCAGTATAAGAGATAGGACCGAGCTTTTACCCGAACCACTTTGCCCAACCAAGGCTATACTCTTGCCTGCTCTCACTTTAAGATTGAAGTCTCTGAAGATCAAAACATCTGGTCTTGAGGGATAGCTGAACTCAACACTCCTCAGCTCAATGGTACCCTCCACAACATTTGGCTCTTCACCGACATCACCAGACACCTCTGTCTGTCGATCCATCACCTCAAACACAGATGCCACCATTTGGTTTCCTTTCAAAAGGTCAGGGGCCAGTGCCAAAGTCTCACCCATTGCCAGTGCAGTTACTATCAGAACCATAAACGATTTCATAATGGATTTGAAGCTAGCAAGCCCCTGTCCCATCAAAACCGAACCGTACCTGCATAATGTATGCTTAAGTTAGTCAAAACAACAGTTAAATGAATTCTGATTCATTCTATGTGCTATTCTAATACTTGTGACCACTAGTGTAGAGTAGGTTCTTAAATCACATACCACAAGGCCAGGCCATAAGATGAAAAGATGAAGAACTGGGAGACACCATAGAATATTCCAGCAATCTGTCCGCGTTTAAACGAACGTTTCGACGGTTCAACGAGCTCTTTAGCATACAGATCAAGGACCTTCTCCTCTGAACAAAATGCAGCAACAGTTCTAATGTTGCCAACTGCCTCGCCTGCCAGCGTGTTGGCTTTCAGGTATGCTTTGCTCAAGTTTCCACCGTAGCCTTTCATAAAAAGTTTCTAAAACACAATGGAAAAGGCATTTTTCGTGAGAAAATGTTTGGATTCCGGGAAAGAAAATAAGCAACTTAGAGAAGTTTTGATAGTAAACCTCGCTAATGTGACCACTAATTATCAATGGATAAGTGGCCAGGACAACTAGAGAGATTCTCCAATTTAATATGAAAGCAATGATGAACGATGTAACGACCATCGCTAAATTCTGCAGAAGAATGGTAGAGCGATCAACAACTATAGTTCGTAACAAAGTTGCATCGGTTTCTAGACGTGATGAAAGCATAGCACTTGTGTTGTTCATATCATCAAACCATCCTATCTCGTTTCTCAAAAGAGCTGCAATCAAGCAAAAGTTGCTCAGAGAAAAAAAAAGTGTCATGAAAAAAAAAAGAAAAAAAACAGGGCATAAAGGTGCTCAGATTGCAATGTACCATGAAACATCATTTCCCGAACTCGAAGGGTGAGTCGCTCTCCCATAATTCCAAAGCAGAGATGCTCAACAGCATGAAAGGTGATGGTTAAAACCGCACCAAGACAGAAAAGCAAAGCTATTCTCTTTATCTCATGGCAAGTTGTATCCCAGTCCATATAAAAAGCAACAAGAGCTTGAGAGACCCCAAGAGCAAAAAGGGGCATCTGGGATCCAGTAACAAATGCTCCAATGATGCCAACGACTCCATACATCCAGTCCGGTCCAACCATGGAGTAAAGTCTTCTTGCTGAAACATGCTTTGATTTCTCAATTTCCATTCCATTGACTCCAATCCGTCCAAGAGATTCTTTTTCAGAGCGAAAGCTCGCACCAAAGCTTGTTGTAGTACGAGATAATTCTCGGGAATACTTTATACTACAAGTTAGCCAAATAGGAACAGTTAAACAAGAAGTGAACTGATTCTTTAACCAAAATGTTTCTCTCACAACTCAAATAATGTAGCATCTAACAGTGTTTACGCATATTATTATTATTGACCAGTTCTAGCATTTGAAAAACTCATCGGTTCGTGTAAAAAGGAGAAATAAACTTAAATTTGCATATTATAGTTGTATGGTGAGCTAAAATGAGAATGAAATACCTCGGTGGTCGACCCAACTGTCCGATTGAGGGATGGCGTTGCAGAGATGCTGACTCTTGGAACTGGACAAGTGATGCATAGACACTATCTGGCTTTGAAATGAGCTCATCGTGGCTTCCAGTTTCAACTATCTTCCCCTCTTGAACGACAGCAATCACATCTGCATTCCTTATGGTAGATAGGCGATGAGCCACCACAACAGTCGTTCGGCCAACCATGACACGATCAAGTGCTTCTTGAACACTCTTCTCAGATTCCGCATCGAGTGCACTTGTTGCTTCATCCAACAATAGGATTGATGGATTTTTAACAATTGCACGAGATATTGCAATCCTTTGTTTTTGTCCCCCAGATAACTGGACCCCTCTCTCACCAACCTAAAACAACACATTTAATATCACCATTTGGATGGCATATTTCCCTTTATCCCTACTGTTATTATTTTCTACTATGGCTATAGTACTACTAAGATTTTCCCCTCAAACAAAAGAAACAAAGAAAGTCTAGGGATTCTTCAGCAGTTGCCATAGTCATCAGAACTGATGGTAACTATTTAGTAACTATTTAAGTAATTTCCTAGAGAACCCATTCTTAAAAAGAAAGTTAATTTTGCCTTCATGATGGATCATTCAATGACTTTATCGTTTGAAGAGATAGATAATAGTACCTGAGTTTCAAATCTTTCAGGGAGGTTATTTATAAATGATAAAGCCTCAGATAGTTTCGCTGCCCGTGTGATGTCTTCAAGGGTAGCATCATCTTTTCCATATAGAATGTTCTCCCTAATGGTAGTAGCAAAAAGGGCAGGCTCTTGATTGACCAAACCAATTTGCTGCCTAAGCCACTTGAGGTCCAGCTCCTTTATGTTATTACCATCTAATAGAATCTCTCCAGAAAGTGGTTCATAGAATCGTTCGATCAAAGATATAACTGTGCTCTTTCCCGACCCGCTCCCTCCCACAAGAGCTACAATCTTGCCAGCAGGAATGTCAAGAGATAACTTGTTAAATATAATAACTTCCGGACGAGATGGGTAGCTGAAATTAACATCCTTGAATTGGATATGACCATCAAGCTTGTCTAGTTTCTGGCCAGTTTTGGAGCTGATTTTGCTGGCTGTGTTTCTCTCTATCATCTGAAAAATGGGATAGGCTGCTGCCTTTGCTCGAATAAAGGCAGAAATGTCCGGTGCAGCCTGCCCCAGCGACCTGATGTAATTTAACCATTAATGAGGAACCTTTGGATTACAAAGACATTAGAAGAAATGATCTGAGACAATGTGACCATTAACAGGAAGCTTGGATTACCAGAACATTAGAATTAAGATGACACTCATTGAATCGATACCTCCCACCAGGAGTTGTCTTGGAAAATAATTGTGTGGATAAACCGAGCCATATTTTACAACAAAAGTGGTTTAAAATTTGAAGGTATTCAAATCCAAGTCATTTATAGATTTCATTTAGTCAGCTTGATGTACATTATCAGCTAAATGATGACAATACCGTGGAAAGCTTGATATGTTGTACTTTCTCATATGAATTTACCACTTTCATTAGTGGGCAATTTTGGTAGAAACCAAATAACTAGAATCATATTGAAAGATAAAAGGGTAAATGAATACAAAAACCTCCCATTCGGGGCACTTGGAGCCTCCTACTCTTGAGTATTCTTATTCAAACTTAAACTACTAAACTATTGAGTATTGCCTATCTTCACCCCCTCTATTTCCTATATTTTGAACCAACTCTTTGGCTAATTACTAATATGCCTTTACTATCCTAATAATATTCCTAACTACCCCGATGTAGTTCCTATCAAATTCTTGACTTTGCACAAGGGAATTAAAGACCTTGGAGATTTTGAATACCGTTCTCCAATGTTTAATCATGTTGACTAATTATTGTCACATCTCAAACAAAAACTAAGCAGCCCACATTACATAAAATAGACCCGGATAACATACTGTCTTCGAGCATTCATTCCTTCATGTGCGGGGAAATTCTATAAAGTGTTGCACAATAATGGGAATGGAATGTAATTAACAGAGAAAGCAAACAATAAGATCAGGTGAAAGACTTACAGGCCAGAAATGACAACATTAAGCATTGTGGTGAAGGAGTCTCCACCATTGGCAATGTTCTTGTGAACAACAATGCTGGTGAACCAAACAAGGAGAGCCCATGATAAGAAAAGGACACAATGCATAGAGCCCAAGCCCAGGCCCTTAGCCAGGCCTGCTTTTCTCCCATACTTGTAGGTATTCTTGAGGGCCCCTTTGTATAAATTAACTGCCCTTTCTTCCCCAGAAAATGCTTGAACTGTTCTTACATTTCCGAGAATCTGAGAGGTCAAAAACAGAAAGGAAAGGATGAAGGGAGGGAGAGATTAGAACCACTTTTTTAAGACAGTTATAATACATTTACTTTCCTGATTGAAATAAAACATATAAAATCATGTTTCAAAATATCAATTGGGTTGGAAGTAACACAATGGGGATTGAACTCAAATCCTTTTACTCTGATATCAGGTTAAACGATCACTAGACTTCAAAAGTTTAATATATTCGCTTTTCTATATATATTCTCAACATTTACAAAATGAGTTAGACTCCAACATGCTATCCAAAATAGAGGCTAGATTGCATATGAAAAGTGGTTGACTTCAATTATGAATTTTTTTTTAAACAAGAAACAACTTTTCATTGATATATGAAAAGGACAATTATGAACATCTTATTACTACGTGATAAATTAGTGGTAAATCCCAAAGCTTTTATATACATTCTCAACATTCTCCATGCGTGATGTGATTCAGATATTAACACAAGACTCGCCCATAGAATATAACATGAAACAGAAATGAAACTATACATTGTGGAGTTTGAACTTAAGAACTCCAACTGTGGTACCATTTCAAGTTACTACTAAATTCAAAAGCTACATGTCAAGTTACCACTAAATTCAAAAGCTTAAGTGAATAGGTAAGGGTGCAATTAATTAAGAAAAAACGATGAGATGAAAAAGATAAAAAGGGAAAACGCTAACCTCTTCAGCAATCTCACCAGCCTTGACATAGGATTTTCGAACTTTGGCAATAAGACCAATTGTCACAAAAGCATAGAGACCACCAGCAAGTGCAATTAATGGGACGATTGATAACGTGACAAGACTAATTTGCCATACCCTCATAAATCCAATGATAAACCCTGATATAAACCGGCTTATATAGTGCATGAAATTCCCTACCTGCACCCACCCACACCAACTTTAACTTCTCAGGCATTTCATCAAACATCTTAACCGCAACTCAATCGAACAAGATCCAAAAAAATGGAGAAACAAGATTAAAACAATTCCATACGTTATCTTCTTTAATTTCATGAAGAATTCACTCTAAAACAATGCCAATTTTCACATATGAGTCATGGAAAAGTAACAATTAAAAAACTAGCATTAGACTCAGTCAGCTCCACTTTCTGCACGCCAAAATCCAAGTTGGCTTTATGAAATAGACTGTTGGGATGGGGAGGATGAGGAAGCACATAATAAGCAATGAAGGCCCAGCATTAATGGGTTAGTTATAGCAATAATTTTAGAAAAATGAATGCGCGAACAAGATTCCTGAACAAATCAATTTGGAAGTAAAATTGGGAAGAAAAAAAAATTTGCATGCGGGTAACTAAAAAAACTTGAACTTTTTTGGTCAAATTGGTGCAAAACAACTCTTTCAAAAGGGGTTTAGATTAGAAATAGGTGTAAAAAAGTAAAATTTATGGAACTTTTTTTTTTTTTTGCATAATTTAATTATTGTGAAGTGAGATAAATAAAACCCAGATGGAAAACGGCTATTAAGTAGCCTTACCAACACAACACAACTCAGCGGCGAAATATTAAATGTTCCCAACCATTGCATTTATTCCTTAGTGGTTTCTCAAAGCATAATAAAAAGGAAATGTCAGATTCAACACTACTTTCTTTTATGTCAAATTATAAATACTGCCCCCCTCCATCTGTAATTGCATTCAATTTTTATAAATGTTCGTCCCTTCCCTCTCAAAATAAATTAAAATTTTAATTTCCATCTAATAATTTTATTTTATATTTCTTTTATTTCTGTTTATATATTCAGTTTAATAGAAGTATAGGTGCAGCAAAATCTCATTTAATCCAAAAGACAGCAAAATTTCGGATTTTTTTCTTTTGGGGAATAAGAAAAGTTATAGGTTGGTGTAGAATTTCGTCTTTATGAACAAAAAGTTTACTTTTGTTCGGACCTNTCAATTTCTTTTAAAAAAAAAAACAGAAAACAACAAATAAATTAATGCTTCATTTCATTTAAGTTTTAATTTTCTGTTTTTGAAAATTAAACTGTAAACAAAAGTATTCTTTATTTTCATTTCTACTTTCTCAAAACATTTTGAAAATTGAAAAAAAAAAAATTTCAAAACCTAGTTTTTATTTTTTAAATTGGGTTAGAAATTCAAATGTATTTTGAAGAGAAATGAAAACATTACATAGAAAGAAAAAAAAAATATGTGAATAAATAAGTTTAATTTTCAAAACCAAAAAACAAAATACAAACACAATTATCTAAATATAACTCAACTAGTTAAAACGTTATAAATCTCTTGGCAACTTTTGTCTCTGTTCGACCAGTCGGTCTCACAGTCAGACAAACTTAAAATCAGTTAAGGACTAGAAACTCGAACCCCATCCCGCATCATGCCATCTTTTAACTCAAAAAAATGAAAGGAAAAAAAAAAGAAGAGAGAAAGAGAGATTGTTTTGTTCATACTTTTTCAGAAATGGCATCTTGAACAACAACAATGTCACTGGTGATGGCAGCAATGACTTCACCAGTAGAAGCTTCAGTGTCAAAGAGGCTGATGTCTTGATTCAACATTGATCTCAAATATGCCATTCTCATTTTTGCTGCTTGTCTCTCCCCACTGTGCATCCAACAAGCCACCTCTACATAATTTCCATTTTTCTTTTTAATAACAAAATTTTTATTTTAATTAAATCAGTTCAATTCAATATCATAATTTTTCTTACCTGCCCATGATGAAAATAGTATTGCCACACTCAGATATAAAAAGTCCAGCGAGTACTGCCACCAAAACAAACCAACAAAAACACATTATGTTAGCATAGCCCCTTCTTCCCTCCCCACGACTATATATAGATGTAAGCGAGAATTAATTCGAATTCCCACATCATAAGAAATACTAAGAGGTCTCGAACAAAAAATTATCATATTTTGTCCTCTTTGGTACCTCAAAATCACAACAGATTTCAAACGAATTCCACTGTTTGGCACCGCATGATTTTGAAGGATTTCTAATCCTATTTTTATGTTACGGATCAAAATGGTCGGATTTTGCAAGATTTCATAGAATTTCAAAGTAAATTATAATAACCGTGTAATATTTTATTTCTAAATAATAAGTTTAGGTTAAAAGTCCAATTCATTAAAATTTTCATTTTCTTTTCATTTCTAGCCAACATCAAACAAAGAAAAAATTAATTTAATTCATTCCACATCATTTTCGTTCCAAGCAAGATAAGAAAATTAAAATCGTTTATTGAATTTCAAATCATGGAATTTTAAATCATTTCTTAAACTTTTTTGACGCCGAAGAGAGGGTTACCGCTATATATTACCAACGTTAGAAAATGATGTTATCGGGAAAATCTAAGTACTAAGYCAATCTGTTAAAATATCTAAAGTGGTGACAAACTTTGTCGGTTTAAGAAAAGTCCACCAATTTCCAATTCAGTAAAAAGAAAAATCACGGTTGAGAAAAACAAAGTCTTCTAACGAAGCCTAAGTTGATAAATTTAACTCACACGACTTCCCTCACTTGAGAACTTGAAAATTAGCATCGGATCTGACAAAAATAGAGCCAAAGAAAAAAAAAGGGGGGTTAGCTAGCCTTCTCGATCTCACCCCGCTTTGTAGCTTAAAAAGTTTGAGATTTTAAGGATCTTTTCCTCCAAAATTATATGCAAAAGTAAATGTTAAAAGCGTAAAATTTTGTCCCTCCCCACGAAATTCATACGGCTTCAACGAGTAATTATCAATATTAATTAATGTCCAGTTCTGATCATGTCAAAGAACGGAGAAAAAAAAACTTAAAACCGATAAATTACGATAAAATGAAGTTTGAAAATGACCTTAGCAACTTTGGGAGCAGCTTCCTCAGGGAAGAGGTAAGCCATGCCAATGATATTAATGAGCTTTCCAAAGTAGATGAAGAAGACAGGAACAGAGGCGCCATGGATGCAAGCTCCAATGGATCCAGCACCCATGAGTAAGTAGTCATAAAAATCAGCAAAAGAAAACAGTTTGAAAAAAGAAACTTTATTTTGCTGCTCCTTCTTCTTCTTCTTCTTCTTCTTCTTCTTCTTCTTCTCACCATCTTCCTCTTCTTCTTCTTCCTCTTCATTATTAACATTCTTCTTCTTCTTGTTCTTCAAATGATCATCCTCTGCCTCATTGCCAAAAACAGAGCCTTGGTTTCTCATTTTTTGAGGGTCTGGAAAGTAAATTTGTGGAAAGTGGGTGAGGAGAGTTGAAGGGGAGAGAAAAAGAAAAGTGTGATTATATAAGGGGGAGGTGGTGGATAGGGAGAGGGAAGTTAGATGGTTATGTTAAATGCCAAAAAAAAAAAAGAAGTCTTCATTTTTCTACACACCAATGTCTTGTGATGGGCAGGTCGTTGTTATAAATGTCAGCTGCCCGAATCAATCCCACCCAACCCAATTAAAGTTGAGCCAAATAAAATATCACTTTATTTTTTCTTTTTCTTGAGGAATCAAACTCAAACCTATTGATTAATTTCATCTCTCAAAGGACAAAAAAACAGGTTAAATTAGTTCTGTGCGTTTTATAAAGTCTCTAATAAGTTGTTTGTATTTATTTGATCTCTTGATTTTATGTACTTTAAAAAAGTTTTTAAAATAAAGACTTTTGTTGATGTGACAAGTTAATTTTGAGAGAGTTTAGTTGTTTTGTGGTGTTAGTTTTGAGTTCACGGCGGCCAAGTCCATTAGAGAGTTTTTAAAATAATAAATTGAAAATACGCAATTTTCATAGTGGAAAGATGAAATTTATAATTTAACAATAATTTATTAAATCTAACAAATTGTTGGTAATGTTTTCATTTATTTTCTCTTTTCTTTTTTCCTGTTATTTAGAAGCAATTCTAAAACTTGAGAGCAACTTTTAAACAAATAAAAAAAATTATTTTCTATTTCTAGTTTTTAATAACATAAATAGAAGTACAATTTCTATATTTTTTTTTACTAATAAAATGCATGGATAATATTTTTTAAAATTGATATAATATAATGATATGTTTTGAATATATTATTTTCAAATATTATTATTTTATTAAAAAATTAATTTGGAGAGAACAAAAAAATAATTATAAGCAAATAATAACGCACATTCTTATTTTATTCACAACAAGAAGAAAATAATAATAATAAATAGAAAATTAACACGCAACATGATCTAAATGTCCAGTTTTTATTAGCAAGGTAGGGTTTTAAAATCATAACAAGAAGAAAATTAATTAATAAAATAAAATTTAAAAAATGTGTGTTTTCTTTAATTTGATTATGATTTCGAATAATATTTTTGAAAAAAATGATAAGTAAAAGACGTTGTTTTAAAACAATTTAATTTTTTTGTTTAAAAAAATAGCTTTCTTGGAAAGTTAAATGCGTGAATTTGTTTACCTATATATATAATTACAAAATTATTTATTTTTGTCCTCTAAAACTCATGGCATTTTTATAATAAAGTTGAAATAATTTGAACCCTAGATGTAGATCAAACTTTTTTAATTACCTATTAAATAATCAGGGAGGTTAATTATATTAATAAATGTCAATGCATAAAGTTGAGTTCATCATACACTTCTTTTCATAATTGCGAACCTAAAATAATACTTGAGATAAAATACTTTTAAAAAATTGTTAACAAAAAAAATATATATACAAATATGCTATATGTATCACTCTGGCAATTACTATAATAGATATGAACAATTGATATATTGATTAATTAGTAATTAAGGTACATTATCATATAAATAAAAAATATATATATATTAATTACTGCCATTAAAATCAATTAAATTTTTCTAACCTTGTGAATTGGATTTCAAACTCCAACTGAGGTACTAAAAAAATCAATTAAATTTTTAGATTTTTATTTACTAATCTCTTAAATGGCAACTCAGATTTAAGTTGGCTAAAAAAGTGGCATATTTAAATTAGTTTTTGAAAAATGTGTAGTTATATTTAAAATATACTTTTCCTTAAAAAAAAAAAAAAATATTGTGTTTGGTTGGAGTAGTGATAATATATATACTATCAAAAGTCATAACTGATCAAAACAAAAAGGTAAGATTATGAAACAGAAAGAGAAGAAAATAAGTATGGGGAGGCAATAATTGGATATATGCATAGAAGGGAGGTCCTCCTTTTGGACATTAATTAATAAAATCCACTTTTTTTATATGCTATATGTATCATTCTGCATCACTACTCACCTTTCTGTTTTAAGGGATAAAAAAGATAGATATTTTCAAATGGAAGAAAAAATAAATAAACACAAAGAAGTTATGGTACTCATCTCCATATGTGGAATATGGATAATATATTTCTCTTTTGTTTAAATATTATTTTGATCGTGTAATTTTAAAATATCTATTTTAGTCTTTGTACTTTCAATTTTTAGAAACTAAAATAAAGAAATTATAATGGTAACTTTTTAAATGTATAGAAATAAAAATGGACATTTTTAAAAGTACACGAACTACTAAAATGAATAAAAGTTATAAAAGTTGAAAGTATCATAACCAAATTTGAAAATACATTGACTAAAATGAACAAAAGTAAAAATTACAATAAACAAAATAATATTTTTTTAGTTCAACATTTAGTGAGATTAATACTTTACCAACCAAACTATGTTTAGGTTGGCTATTTTTCTAGTATTTTTTTTTTAAGCTCAAGAAATAGGAGGTAGAGATCGAACCATCAACCTTCAGTAAGCATTTTATTGAGTAAAGTATTCTTAAATGGGTTATTTCTTTTTTCTATTTCTGCTTGTATCATTCTTACTTGTCTTTGAATGAATGATAAAATTTAATCCTAAAGTTCCAACTTGAAATTTATGTGTCTAGTTTAGTTTAAAACACTTTTATAAATCAATTCGAATATAATTTAGTGGATAAGGCACCTATCATCGTAACCATTGTACTAAAACAACAATACTTGCAAATAAAAAAAAAATAAAGTTGAAATAACCATAAAATTAAATATAATTTTACTGTCACACGTTTGATATTTAAAATTTTATATTAATTTTACTGTCACACGCTTGATATTTAAAATTTTACATGTTGTGACAT